ATAGAACAATATCTCTCCCTAGCTTTCATCAACTATTTTTATTGATGACAGCACTACTCTTGTAACTAACATGGAGGTAATAGGGAATGCAGTAAATTCAAAATCATTATCTATGTAACATTTCTGTATTTTGGGTTTTTTTTTACATGAAGTGATATTTCAGAGCTGAATTCAGCTAGCCAGTACAGTAACACGCCAAAAACATTTCTCATTATTACTTCTTTTAATTTACCCACGGGAGGCAAATATTTTATTTTGTTATTTAACTTCTTGTGGGAAGTTAAATATCTACAGAATATGTTGAAAAGTCTTTAAATTCAGTTTGACTGAGTTAAAAGATTCCTATTGGGGTGCTTATCTAGTTTCTCCCTTGCCATTATCTGTTTCTCTTCGAGTTTCATAATCTTACACTTGTTTGAAGATAAGTGTTTTATAATTTCATTGCAGAATGCAAAATATAGGTACAACTTCCCTCATTTTTTTATTGAACATGGGTAGTAATATAGAACTCTTTCAATAGAGAATCTTTGTAGTATGAGCCTACGTGGTATGTTATTGAAAGAAGAAATACAGCAGACTAAAAAGAGAATAATTTCTTGCTGGAAAACTTGTAGAGACTAAATGCAACAGCAGAATTGAGCTTTGAACCATAAGTACCATAAGCAAAGTTACCATATGAAAAACTGCATTTAATCAAGTCTAGAAAATACTAGTGAAAATTAAAACTAATATCCTATTATGAATGAAGAGTCAAATACACTAAAAGCAAGAAACCAAAAACTGTGAAATGCACAAGCTTCATCTTAACTGTGGGTAGAGGATACTGTAAGAAAAAAAGAAACCTTGAAAGAAGGTTGAAAGAAATCTTGGAAGAAAAATCAGAAAGGAAGTTCAAAACTGAGACTATTCAAGAATGTTTCTGCTTTTCTCTTTCCATTAACCTAGAAAATAGCAATGAAATAGCTGGTATAGAATGGAAGACAAATCTTAAAAGGAACTATTATTTTCCAAAGAATCCTTACAAAAACTCCTCTTTGTCCTTACCAAACCAACAATTCCAGAATTTTGTTTACTACAGCTAATTTTAATGACTTAGATAAAGACATTAAATGAGTACATAAAGAGTTAGATATAATATTTCTAGGAGATCAAATCCAAGTTTTGGATAATCATATCAAAGACATACTATGTAATCAGTTGTGTGAAATGAGATGGAAAATAAAGTTGTTTATGTATCTTAAACACTACCTTCTAAAACTCAGGTTTGCCTTCTAGATTACCAGATTACTTTAAATACGATTATTTAAGAAAGGGCAATGAAATCTTTGTTGTCAAACTTCTATATCTTAAGTTCTCTCAAATATCTTGTTTTCTTCATCTTACAGACAGATTAGCCATGAAGCTTATTTTTACTATTTACAGGCTAGACTCTATCTGGGTTTTCATTATCTCAGCAGACTTGCCTCTCCCTATGAGCTACTTCACAGGAACAGATTTTCTGCTGGACAAATTAACTGTGATATTGCCATTAGTTTCCTCCTGTCTTGTGCATTGGTTACACATATTGATAAAACAACAATTATAAACTGTATATTGTTTCTTTTTCACCTAGCAAGCTTGCAGTATACAGAAGCAGCATGGAAGTTTAATGAAACAGAAGATTTTGTTGTGTGATCATATTTTATAGTATTATATCAATTTTTATTATTTAGCCTATTTACTGAAAATTCAGAGGTTGGGTTCTCACAACTTACAAACAACTAGGACAGAAGTTCATGATAATTATTGTGAGATTTCTTCTTAAAATCCATAGTTGCAGAATTATTGTCAGATGTGGACAAGTTTTGCCAAGAATTTGAGCTTTAATCAGCATTTTTTGTGGGTGGATGTGAAAAACAAAAGGATTTTGTGGGCGTAAACAGCAAAATCACATTTTTCTCTGAACAGCTGTATAATAGCCACTTTTAAAAGCTAAACAGTAAACACAGAAGGAAAGAGTTTCACACCATAGAATGTAAGGCAAAATATTTCTGGCTTCCATATTGTGGGAGTTATTATAGAGCACAAAATGCTAAATAAAAATTGGCTTTATGCTTGGCCAGCTGACACTTCAAGGAATGAGTTAGAAATCAGAGTCCTTTTCAGAGCCATACCAGTTGCCAACCACTTACAGCTTTGGAACAAATTGAGAAGTGAGGAGTATACATAAATGCTTTCTGATTCTGCAGCTTGTCATACCTATATTTTGTAGAGATTTTTTTTCATAATAAAGATTTTGTATCATGTGTAAAAAGCAGATTTGTTTTTAAACCCATAAATCACATTCACCTTAAAGTAATACATCTTTCCTGTGTATATGTATAACTGTAAGACAGAATTGGTAGATAAAGCTAATATCTTTTATTGGCCAGTTATTATCACTGAAGAACATTGACAAGCTTTCGAACACATAAGCTTGCTTTATATCTGAAACAGGAAAAGCATATTTCAAGGGCAAAGAACAGCTGAGAAGAATTGCTCAGAGTGTCAGAAATATCACATCTTTGAGAAAAAATATAACTGGTAGATACAGTTAGAGGAGATATAGTGAAGAGTTGGAGAAAAGAAATGAGAGATTCTACTATATGTGTGTTCAGCAAAATAGTTGCAAATCCTGATTCAGGAATCTAACATGGATGTGTATCCAGCAAGGATATTTTTCCATGGAAATAGCTTGTAATTTTGAAAGAGTTGTCAAAAACCCATGTAAGGAATGGATTCTAAAAAAAAAAGAACACTCATACGTTACTAATTGCGTCTCTTTTTTTTTTTCACATAAAAGCTTTCCCCGGACACAAGTAGCTGTTGTAAGTTTGTTTTTCATTTTCTGAAACCAGAACATTCAATAACAAAAAATACAATGTAACTATCTTATAAACTACAAACTAAAAGTTAAAAAGGAAAATACTGAAGGACATCTTACTGTCCTGTTGACATAGAACAGGAAAAAATTGTTTATTCTTGGTTCTGCCTTTTTGCCAGTGGTTTTTTGGCCACCTGGCCACTTCTTACCTGATACAGGTTTCTCTCTGTAATGAACAATTTGGCCTCTGACTTAAGCTTGTCACCAGAAGTTTGTAGTTGCTATATTGCTGTCTTCTGTTCTCAGTGACTTTAGGGGCAGACTTCTTTTATCATCTCACAAGTGATGTCTGTAGCATGATGAATGTCCTCAAGAAATACAAAATCCATCAATTTAGGAATTTAAATGTCCTCTTGTTTTGTGAAGATCTTCAAACATGGTTGCTTGGTATAGTTATTTTTGAACTTTCTCATGAATTGATCCTGAAGACATCTGATAGAGGTGTTTTTCCTTGTGAAACAAAAAGCCAGTGAGCAAAAATTGCAGAGAAGCCATCATATACGGTGGTGTGAAAACAGGAAATGTGGGTTTCATTTTTCCTTCTTCTTCATAGTTCATTACAGGGACTTGATTTAATTTGTGTAGATTAATGGGTATTATGCAATTGTTCCCTTTAGTTTCTTATAAGAGATTAACAATCAGTGCACGTGAGACTGTGTAAGTATGTAATTGGCACTACATCTGCCAATAGTGAGATGCTCACAGCAAATGTAGAGGACTTACTTTCAAGTGACTGTTCCAATTAATTTTCATTTATCATGAATGGATCAGTTTCAACACAAAAGACCGAAGCAGCCAAGTCAGTAGCTAAGATGTGCAAGACCAAGATTCAGATCTGCTCAGAGTCAAGCAGGGAGGAAAATGAATCATGGCTGCAAACAGAGAATGTATGTCTGCTGCTTGCTGACTGTGGTATTTACCCAAGAAGTGTAAAACCCAAGTTCAATTCTTAGATGCTTTATTTCAGACTTCTACAATTCGAGTGAGAATGTGATTACTGGCCCCAGATGAAGAGCTAGGCTTAACCTGAAATATTTTTTTAGGATATTCAGAGTTCCGGCTTGGTCTAATTGACAAGATATCCAATTTCAAAATATATTTTCCACTGGAAAAATAGGGTAGTAGTTAAGAAGTGCTTTAAAGACGCCGGCTTGGTCTAATTGACAAGATATCCAATTCCAAAATATAATCTCACTGGAAAAATAGGGTAGTAGTTAAGAAGTACTTTAAAGACAGAAGTGGATGCCTAAAGAGTTGGATTGATCTCCAAGTCATTTCGAGGATCATAGTCTGTTCAGAGAAAATGGTTTGTTGTTGAATCACTTCTTAGCTGTATTCAGAGCTTCGACAGGCTGAAAGCAAACAACTTCTGTTTCTCTCTGGCTATCCTGAGTGTAACATCAGAGTGCTGATGGGTAGAAGGAAAAGGGAAGAAAACTAGGACAGAGTGCAAAATCACTCATGAAGTCTATAATTTGGCAAGGTTAGCACGCTTGGTATTTTAGGATTGGAGGAAGATTCCTATTAGAAATAGGTACCTAATTTCTCTACCTTTTTTCACAGGATAGACCCATGGAATTTCTTTAGAATTCTGCTCCTGAAATTAATAGGAAATAAAATTAGGTCAATATTCTAGAAAGTTGGGAATTCTGTACAAATATCGAGATTTGTGCTATGCTGGTTATTTGTTAGTTACAGGATTCTTTCTCTTATTTGTTCTTTCGAGTGTCCAAGTGAAGATGTAAAGATCAGATTTTTCTGAAATAAACAGAATGTTATTCTTAAAAACACATGGTTTTATTCCAATGGATAACTTACAAACTAAGGTGTATAAGCAAGAATATCGGAAACTGGTACTGACTTATCGAAAAGTGAAAATATATGAGAGCATATAAATTTTAATTCTTTTCTTTAGGTCTAATATTTCTGGATTTCAATATCTGGCCATAAAGCGTATTTGAGACTTAATAATATTCTGCAGTGACACAAAATGAATTATTATTTACTAATAATACCTTTGTAGATGACATGAATTAGCTCTTGGACATTGTATTAGTATTTGCATTTATTTGTTTATTTATTTTGTATTTTCAGGTAGAGATTGAAAAGCTGGACTATTTTTACTATCTGCCTTTGTTTTTTGATGGGCTTTGCGAAATGACTTTTCCATATGAGTTTTTTGCTCGTCAAGGAATCCATGACATGCTGGAACATGGTGGAAACAAGATTCTTCCTGTCATTCCTCAGCTCATTATCCCAATAAAAAGTAGGTGAACACATGGGAAAAAAAAAATCGCTAAAATTGCATTTATATAGTGTAGAATTTTTTGACAGGTTGCTAATTAAACAATAAAACATGACAGGCTGTACATTTCATGGAGATTATTGCAAAGATGAGTAAATTGTAGTGTGCAAGGCCAGAAGGCTTATGCCTTCAGTCACCTAGTATGTGCAGTAATCCAGAGGAACAGAGTGTCTGGTTACTGTTTTTCTTATTTCAGTGTGGCTCTAGGTCTTTGGGAATGTGATGTGACATTTTCTTACCTGATTTTGTTATTATGTAAATCCGTAACTGTATAAACCAGTTCATCTAAAATGACAGGAGAAATCAACAGATGAAACTTACGGAATTCAGTTTCTTTTTCTCCTTTTGTTTATTCCATAGTTGTCTTACATTTATTCACTAGATATCTTTTCTATCATCATTCTCATTACTTTTCATATACATATATCTATATAAATTGGGAGTTCTGCCTGACTACTTAATGTTGTATGTAAAATTTTGGCATTTAAAAAAATACTAATTTTGAAGTTTTTGTAATTCAAACAGTTTTTTGTAGAAAAACTATATGAAAGGTAATAAATTATTTTAATACAAGTGTAAAACCACTAAAGGTCAAAGTGTAATACCACTAAAATGAAAACTTTTTTCTTAAAACACTTAGTCTTTCAGATATATTGTTTTTTCCTTTTCATTTTCTTTAGATCAGTACCTTGAGGAGATATTATTCTGAACCATCATCCTTCTCTAGTTAGGTATTAGGACTCTTTTAAGTCTACCTGCTACATTTGTACTAATAGATGCTCATACTTGTTAAACTTGGCGTCTGTTTCATCATTGATCAGTAATGGTATCATTTCTTTCCTATGTCCTGTTTTCCTGAGATGATTCAGCATCCATGCTAATACAGAAGTATTGTCATTGTATTTGTGACACAGAATGAATAGAATCAAGCACAGTTTTGGAAAAGGGGAAGGAGAATGTAGTTTGGAGCCTGATAATACTGAAATAATATTATTAGAAGGGTCAGAAATGTGTTTTTCTTTCATTCAATTTATTCTCTGTTTAAAAAGATTAATTATAGATGTCATTATCTCTTTCTCCCTGAAGATTTTGAAAATGTCAAAAGGAATATATAATAGTCAGAATGGTTACTCTGTAAGTGACACTTGTGAAAGGTTATGAAAACAATGTTACGTTTTTTTCTCGCTACAAGGGAAACACATCAAGAGGGGAATAATGTCATTATCTGTATTTCCAACACCACCCAAAAATATTTATAGTAGTGTCATATTTTTTAAAAGCTGAAATCATTTCTTCAGATCCTACTCAGTTAGGATTTAAAAGCCTTGCTGAGACCAGAATCTAGCTTAGAAATAATTACCTGGAAGCTTTAGCTGTTACACAGCTTTTAGCATTATAAAGAGACTTCTGGACAAGAATATTTGTATGGGTTTGTGCTATAGTCTTTTAAATCAGTGACAATTTATGAGGCTGGAACACATTCAAGAATCTGCTAGCTAAATTTAGTTGTTGGTTCTGCTTAATTTTATTGTACATTTTTTATTTTTTTATTTAAAAAAAAGCTTCTGTATCAGCTTTAATGTGTAGAGCCTAAGTATTATCAATGATAAACGGTCCTTTCTAATTAACGCCATATTAATATAAAAAAAATACACCACCATCTCAAGGAATCTGAAAGTGTGTTCTTCTAAGAGTTTTTAAATTTGCTATGACTGTGTGATATGGCAACATAGTCAGACCTATACATTTCTGTGACTCAGATGCATCCACAATAAACTCAGCTGTGTTTTACGCATGTCCTGTCTCTAAAGTGTCCCAGTGGGTGAGTTATATCTGATTAACCAGTCTTCTTCTAGACCACTACCATATTTCTACTATGAAAGAGTAAATCAGTTAATTGTTAGGTAAGGTAATATACATAATGTATACGCAAGGTAATGACGGAGGGGAAAGGGATAAAAGAAAAATAAGTCTACAGATAGAAAGCTTTTAAAAGCAGTTTTCTCTCTTGCATGTTCATCAAAGGAAAATATTAATAAGAAGCTGCTCTCTAAAAACATTTTAAATTAAATATTAGAATTCTGTATTATATTTTAACTATTTAAGGAGAAATCTATCCTCCACCTGCCCTTGCTTATAGTTCACACTTTTTGAACTCTATATCATTAAAGATTAAAACTGTGTTATTTAATGAATCTGTGGGTTACTGTAAGCCCAAATTCTTTCGACAAATTTTCTTCTGGTTATGCAAACAGGCAATGACTAACAAAAGGCAGACAACTGAAATTAACAGGTACGGTTTCTTTCCTCAAATACCTGAAGTATGATTAAAATAACATGACATAATGCTATTTAATGGAAAAAGGATTGCTTTTTATTTGTTGTTCAAATTGAAAGGCACTCTTTTTTTTGTTTTTAGTTCAGTGGAAGAAAAAAAATCTCAGATTGGAGGCACTAATTTCTCAAAGAGAAAAATGTGCAAAATTTATTTTGATTTCTCAAAATAAAGACTAAAAATATATATTGTACCTTGCAGTGGTTAAACATGATAAAATAGTTGATAAATATAGTAATAGCATGGCATGTTAGCCAGGAAAAACCAGTCACCTGTATATGTCAAACTTGTAAGGAATCCAACTAAAAATAAAAAAATGCAAAATGTGAATACTTTAAGGTGTTAAGACTTTTTACTCCCTTTCACAGCAGATGTAGGTAAACACATTGTCCAAGTTATTTAAACCAGAGCAGACATTCATAAACTGAAGTATATGGCCAATAGCAAAGCACTTTGTAGAGGTATTATGAAAGTTCTGTTGTACACAACACACAGCACAATATCTTGTTTGCCAGGAAGATCCATATTGTTATTTTCATATTACAGACAGATAAAGAGGTAGAAGGAGGCTAACTTTGCCCCATATCACAAACTGCATTGTGGCAAGAGAGCAGAACAGAACCCAGACACGTGCCTCTGGGTGGCAAGCAAAGCTGCCAGTAGGTCACGTGAGAGTTCCCTTATTTTTCAGGAACAGAGGGATCTGTCTGGCCCCACTATGTCTTTCAGTGATGCACTGATGTATATCAAAACTCACTTGTGGCCTACCACTGCCTGTAGCCAGCTAAAGATAGCCAGGAAAAGGGGCGTGAGGGTGAGAGGTGTTTATTGTACCAGGTGCTTGTCAATGGAAAAGTCCTGTTCTAAATTCTGTGCGGTCATTGTGGGAATGTAATATTCCTTTTGATACTCAGGTTTTGAGCAAATTATTGCTTTTAATATTACATTTGCCATAACAGATGCCAGATCAGAAAAGCCTTAAGTCCTTTTGCTTGCTTTCATTATGTTTCTGCAACTTCTTCCGACTGCAGAGTTCCCCAGATTCCACATGAGACACACGTGCAGACATAAACACTAAGGGGGCAGGAATTTTCTACACCTTTGCCTGGTATTTCTATAAGCAAAAACAAGGACATCCAACAGAGTGCATGGAACCACCTGCTTTCCTTTCAAAGATAGCGAGCGTGCTACCTTTTACATTTTCTTTGCTGGCAATGTAGGAGTTTCCAACACCTTCACACGCAAAGTAACCAAGCGTTCCAGCTCCCACACCACAGTTCATTGCAACTGACTTTTGCTAATGCAATTGTTTGTGGAGCAGCAAAGTGAATCTCACATTTAAATGTATTAAAAAAAATCCACAACACCAAATGAAAAATAAAACTGAAATATATTCAGAGTGGCATTACTTTTAAACTCAGATCATTTCAATGGTCCAGTTTATATCTACACTGTCACAAATGAAGGAATAGTACTCAACAGCATAGAAGTTGGAGTGAGCAGAGAAGATCGGTAGGAACATCATGATATAGCATTGCTAATTAAGAAAATAGTGTGAAATTAAACACTTAAGTATCTTGGATCACCCACTTGCCAGGATCTTTTCTGATCTGTGATGTGAATCCTAAAATGGACACGTAGGTGATCTGAACTTAGGCCTAGAAGCCGACAAAGTTCACATCTTTGCACTTAAATTGTAATTTAGATAGAAGTAATTGAAGTATTGTTTCCACACAGTTGCAGTCAGCAGACCAGCACTTCTGGTTGAGTCTAAAAAGAATAATCTCCATTCTAAGATACACTGAAGTTTTCCTTTTCAAGGCTTTTTCCATGCTGTTAAAAATCCCATATGTGACACAGTAGATCAAGGATACCTTAATCTTTGTTGAAAACATTTCATTAAGGGAAACAGATTTTTTGTGAGTCAGATACAGGGAAATGCACAGAGCAGTCCTCCCTCAGTGTCACCTACAGAGTCTTTTCCTTTTAAATGTTTAATAAATTTCTAAATTAAACTGATTTCTGTTTCCTTATTCTCCACGTTCTATTTGCATCTAAAATGCGGATTGTTGTCTTGGACAGTTAATTCCCATTTAATGTCAAATCAATGTCACTGTTGCATTTAGATAAGTAAAGCTGAACCTGTTGCTAGCAGTTGTTCTAAGCACAGTTATATTTCTCCTCATACATCTTCATTGTATTTAAGAGTACTTAATAATCATTAAATGAGAACGAGTTCTGGTTGTTAAGACCACGGACTGAAATTTAACTCTAAACAAACATGGTTTTATAGACTTAAAATGTTTTTAAAGAAAGCAAAGGTCTCTGATTTAAAAAACAAAAAAAAAGTCTTGATTTTTAAATACCAAAGCATTTCTCCTCTGTAGGCTCCATCAACCAGTACAAGTGATTGCAATTAGAAGGTTTATGTTAGATTCTTCTGCTCAAAACTGGTCATTTCAGATAGTTTCAAAAGGTGTAGAAAATAGGTTCTTTATTACTCCTTTTTACTTCTGTTTTCCAACTAATAAAGATAAATCTCATCCATGTTTGGAAAGCGAAATCTTCAAGCAACATCTCTCACTTTTGAAGTTGGAGTTTGAGCTATTGTCTCCTGAATTTATTAATTTATTATTATTTAATATTTATTAGTACTGAATTTCAGATGCCATTTTATCACCCACTAAATAAAAAATGGAAACTGTCAGTGCATTTCTAAACATAGATTCACAGGTGTATTTGAAAAAGGGATTTAATATAATTAAAGGTCAGTGCAAATTAAAGAGAATTGAATTATCAACATAACTTCAAATATAACTACCAAAATCTAAACTTTACTATTTAGAGAAGAGATGGAAGTTTGGGGAATATGATTCGATTCTGTAAAGTTTAGGCTATCAATGTGGTATCTGGGGAAGAACATTCTGATGCGATCTCTTCTGTGAAAATCCATTGTGTTATGAAAAAGATCCATTGCAGACTGGGAGGAATGCTGTCACGTTTTCTGGCTTATAAAATGTATCAGTCCCAAAGATGAGAACTCTGACTTCTATTATAGGCAACATCTGAGACTGAGATAAGATTTTCCACACTGCTAAGTAAAAATAAAAGATAAAAATAAAAAATATCAACTTATATAGGTTCTAGGTCTTTTTCTTTGAGATGTTAGAAGTGTTACTCAAGGAAAACACTTGAAAATTTTAAAATAATTATTTCTATTACTTTGTATGTAAGCTGCTTCTCTCTAAATGGATGAGCAAATAAGTGGCATATGTCTTAAGAAAAATCTCTGCTCTTAAAGGAAATCCACAAAATAAAATTCTAAATTTACATCAATTGCCAATAAAATTTAAAAAAAAAAAATCACTGAATCTGTCAATGAATTGGTATTGTGTATCAGGAAGTTATGATGAACTTCAAACAATACTTTTTTTGAAAAACTGTAGCAGTACAAAATTAAATATGTTTGAACTAAATACTTCATTATATACTTACACTGAGCAATTGTTTAAGCTGTAGAGTCTCATAGAAAAGTGTGTATCCTAATCACAGGCAAAATCGTCAAGTTTATATACCATTGAAGCAGAAAGCATCAGAACTAACAAACACCAGAGTTGATTTTATTAGGTTTGGGTTTTTTTCAAGCTTGCTGCTTAAGAGAATTGTACAATAAAAATTCATGTAGACTAGATGACCTAAAGGGAAATACATACCGTTGAGAGAGGTAAGTCCTCTAAAAACCCTTTAGGGACCGGAAAGGTAGCTTTAACTGAGAAGCAAACCAGTGATTCACTTTGCTGTTATTGTGAAGATCCACGTTTTAGAGCAAACTTCTAGGTCAAGAGGCAACAGCCTAGCATGCTTTCAAATTGGAGTACTTTGAATATTATGCATGTTTCCTTCTTTAGGGATATGTAGTTATATTGTACTGAGTTTTAAATTGTCTACTTTATTCCTGTGTAAGGATACTAGTACTTTCTTCCGTTTCTGTTAACCTCTGCATATCACTGACATTTTTCAAAATGTTGAAATGAACTTAGTTCATATACTGCATTAAAATTTTCTTTCTTTGATTCATGTGGGAGAATGGTCTGCGGTGATGTAGCACACAGAAAATAATTAGCAGATTTTTAAAAGATAAACATATGTTTGAAATTGATGTATCCTTGGGGCAGGGACGGTCTCTAATTAAATGTTTATACAATGCCTAATATAATCAAGCCAGGAGCTGGTTGACTGCTATGCATGCCACAGTCCAAATATTTAATAATAATAACAACAGTTCTGCAGTCAATTTGGTCTTACTTTTGATATTTACAAGTGTTTTCCTAACAGACACTGCAGATTTCTGCAATATGAAGGGCTTCAGGCTCAAATTCTGCTGTTTGTTTGATTCTACCATATCCATCACTTTAGTACTCAAAATCTTGATCCAAATTCTGTCTGCTTTTTTGTGTGTCAAATGGAGGATGGGATGCCCCTGTTTTGAGGGAGGTGGGACAAGTATCCAACTGATTTTCTAGTATGCAGATGAAACAAGTGCCAGTATTACTGTTTAACGTTCCAGCAAGCACTCCTACAGCACAACTCACATGTAAAGAAACTTGCATGACAGGTTCTGTGATGAGCTGTTCTTTGAAAACATCCTTCTGGATTCAGTATGTGTTCAGTTTGCTGCACGCATTGGAATGCCTTCTCAGTCATGAGGCATAATTCACACTCTTGACTTTATTAAGGAGTTAATCTTAACCAGGACAGTCCTGGCTTCCACTCAAACCAGGGTTGTCTTTGCACAAGACAGAATGCTGAAAACCTTTGTGAAAACCTTTGGGAGCCACCAGCTGCCGAAAAAAATTCTCCCTAGGGGTGGCTGGACAGCCATTTCCACTTACATGACACCCTCTGCATGGCTGAAAATAAGGTCTCTCATCCTCTAGGACAGCTTCTACAGTCAGCAAGAACTATTTCTGGAAATGGATACAATTTATTGGTTAAGGATTAAGAAGCTGTAATTTCTGTCATTGATTAATTTAAGTTCATTAATGTTTGTATGAATAATTCATTTTATTAATTTTATTCACGTTTGTATGAATTCGTTCATACAAATGAACACAAATATTCATTCATGTTTGGTGAATAACTAATAATTATTGTACTGAAAATTACAACTGTTAATGATAATTTCCCTATTAGTTTGGTTAGCTACTCTTTCTGTGTATGACAATTTAGTCATGAATAAACCTATATGTTGGAACCCCAGAGCTCCTGTGTGAGAATACTGCTTCGTTCCCTACATGACGGCGTTCCTGTGCACTTACAAAACGCAGTGCCAGAAATACTGAATCCTATTACTTCAGTGTGAATAGGCAGTTCTTGAAGAAGTTCTTAGTAACTCCTTTTCAAATTTTGGTGTGTTCTTTATTATAATTCTTTTCAAGTGCTTATGTTATGTTATATTGAATCACATATTTATATACTTCTGTAGTTGTAAAAAATATGGCATTGAATATGAGCTTATCTTTTACAGTTTTTGCTTTTCCAGTACAGTGATGTAAATGTCTATGTAAGTGGGCAGAACACTGGAGAATATACCAATATATAATAGCGTACCAAATTTGACAACTGCTTCCAGCTGCGTAATTTCAGAGGAGGTTTTATAACTAGAGGGATTTTGCCAGAAAAAAAGAAAATATATTTCAAGCATGACTCATTTTTAATTACAAAAGAGAATGCAAAGTACTTGCTTCTAGTAAAATTAAAAGAGAAACAAAAGGTATTTATGAAATGTCTTAGTGTCATAAGATTAGAAGCATGACACTGAAAGCTAAGAGAAAAATCTAAGTAGGCAAGACAAAATCTTTTTTTTTTTTTCCTAGAGTGTTTGTCTTTTAAAAAAAGCCTACAAGGTTTTTTTTGTGGGTTTTTTTCCTATAAACATTTGCTTCATTGTACTGATTCTCAGAATAGTAGGAATTGTTAGTTGAATGAATAAAATGGTCATGAAATAAATGAGTACAAACATACAAACACTAATTGTTGCACTAGAATGTATCTGTTGTCAACCTTTGCAGGTTGTCTTGCAGTTGTACAGTTCCATTGGCCCCAAATGGTACTTACTGAACATTTATTTTTTATTTGTTTGGACCACACCAGTATTACACAGGCAGCATGAGGGAATAAAGAGCTGCATTCTTTGGGTTACTGAAGAGTCAGCACAAATTGTGGGAACAAATAACAATCAGACAAGGCAGTGTTTTATAGCATGAGGACTGCAATCCATCTTTAGGATCTTTCAAAGCTGGGCTAATAGAGGCCCGCTTACAATCCCCAGCAGAGTACTGTTTAATTAAATTTGTCCATTAGATGACACCTCCCCCTCCCTCTACATTTTAGAAATTAATTCTGCTTTCTGCCTCTTGTTCTTTCTACATCACAGATGCACTGAGCCTTCGTAACCGACAGGTCATCTGCATCACACTGAAAGTCCTCCAGCACCTGGTGGTGTCAGCTGACATGGTGGGGGAGGCCTTGGTGCCCTATTATCGGCAAATCCTCCCTGTCCTAAACATCTTTAAGAATATGAATGGTGAGTTATCCTAATAGACACTGTGTCTTTCAACTCCTAAGGTAAAAGGAGGCTTGAGGCAGGGTTAATTAACAATGTAGTTAAGATTTATTACTGTATATAAACTCAAATCCATTTGGAGCTCTAAATAATGTAACCCCCCCTCTTACTATTCCCTAAGGATGAACTGAAATTAACAATTTCATTTATTACTCCATGCACGTACAGTTTATTTAATGCAGTACAGAAGCACTGAAGCAGTTCTATAATCTTCCAATAATTAAATTGTAAAGTTTTGTAACAGTCTTTTGAATGCATTAATAAATTGCAAAGGTTTTTCCTCCCTCCAACACATTAGTTCAGTCCGGCATTTTTATTCCAATCTGTACTCTTCACAAGCGATTCACTGCTACTAGCAGGCTTAGGAAAGAATAAAAATAAAAGTAGCAATCAAACTAATTAATTTGAGGGTCAAGAGAACTCCTTCTTGTAGAAAAATTTCAAGCTATATAATAGCTAGCAAAACAGTGACATTTGTAGTTATTACTGCTCACTTAGCGGGTTTTATTACAGAGAAATTTAGAACTAATTTGTATCTAGAGTTGAGTATGTTGTTTTCTTTGTAATGCAAACCTCTATTGCCAGTTTCGGTCTTTAATAACTGGTACCACGAGTACTGTGAGAACTGTATGCTGTGAATGCATTTACACCACAGTCACCAGCTGAAATCAATGTGATGTATCTTGGTTTTGCCAAACTAATCTTCAAAATATTTTTCTGTAGTAAATCTATCTGTACTTACCTGTTCAACTATCTACCAAGTTACTGACTTTAACGTTTCTCTTACTGACATGCAGCCATATAGATCAAAAGGAATTAATTCCTCACAATGTTGCAAAAGAGGTTTTTCGTTACATTCATGGCATTTTGATACTTATCTATAGGACTGCTTCCTATTATACTTCCTGTTTGCGTTATTACAGAATGTATTATCTTATACGTACTCTTTAGTGAGTACAAGATTCGCCTCAGATTGTAAAATGCCTGTCCAAAAAGACTGACTTGGAGACTTAAATGACGTTTAGATTTTAGATCCCTTTAAATACATATATGTCTGTGACTCTGTTTTACTTCGGGAGAAACTTGCAGTAACATATGGAATTCCACGAATACAATGTAATTCATATGACGGTTGTGGCTTTCTAGAAGTCGTGGGATGAAAGGTTATGAATAAAATCTGTAGGTTGAACTTAAGTAATTTCAGTAGGGCTCCTTATGAATTAGGAGATTTCTCCTTAACAGATCCTGTTTCAGTATCGGGCACAAAACAAGACTGTAAAAAGAAGGACTCCCATTGATTAATGAATATACAATACATGCTTTTTTCCAAATTTCAGCCTGAAGTAGCCCATAAATTCTCTTGACTAGGCTTTTCTGCAGTGATTTCAGGTGAGTAATAGAGAAAGCTCATGTGTAACCAGATGCGTAGCTTAACAAGGCATTAAACACATTCTAAGTTTTGATTGAATTCTGAGCAAAATAAAACATTTTCATTTTGCATGGCATCTGTGCTATGTGAATTTGTGGCCATATCAAACTACACTAAATCTTGATATTTGGAATTTAAGAACTAAAAAACAAAAAAGAAATTAAAAGTAATAGTTCAAAATTATAGATTTTATTAAAGCATCCTTTTTTTAGGAATAAAGATTCTGAAAGTTCAGTGTTACCAGCAATGAAATGGATAATATTTGAAAGGCCTACCATGTGAAACTGTTCAACTT